TGGCTTTCACTCTTAATGAAATAGGGAGCTGCTGCAAGATTTTGACAAAAAGAGAGACACTCATGTAAATTTATTTACATTTTAAATGGATCATCCTGGCTGCTGTGCTAAATGAGGTGTAGAAAAGCAACAACAGGAATAGGAAGACCAGTTAGGAAGCTACTGCAGGACTTTAGGTGATGCTTTGAAAATGAGTGGTCCGCACAGAAATAAGGGCAGTGTGGAGAAGCGTGCCTTTTCAGATATATTTTGTAGGTCAAAACAGCGTATTTTCCTAACAGATTGGATAAAGGTTATGAGAGAAAGGCAAACATCAAAAATAAATTCTAGTTCAGAATAACGTTCTCTGAGAGGTTGGTCATTGAGGTGGGAAAATAACTCTTAGATTCCCAGTTTTAATATAACAGTTTTTACTATTCAAAAATTACCTTAAAACCCCATGAAAAATTGTAATTTTGTTCCGGCACAATAGGGTTACTGATTCTGCAAGGCTAGTGAACAGAGGCAAAAAAGCTTACCTACTGAGTGAGATTAACTAAATGTTCACCATCTGAATCATCATTTGGCTTTGTTACTTTTTGTATTAAAATTCCAAAATTTGCCTGTTTTCAAGGCCTCAGGGATACCCCTAGAAAATATCAAATGGTTAACATTAATCCACTTCAAAATGTATTTTTAACATCAGGAGATGAAACAAAGAGGGATTTTCAACTCATTGAGGGCCTCGGTCTCCTGCGTGTTTGTGTTTATTTCTTTTTCTTTGTGATAACTTTTTAATTTTTTTTGAGATGTTTATCTCCTATCTAGTACAAAAAGATCTTGGAGGCTCTCGACAGAGTTAGGTATAATACAGTACAATAAAAAATAAACAAATGAAGAAACTCAGACCAAGATAATAATGATGAGATTAAGCTATAGCAGTGCTTTTTAGTGGTTACAAATGCAATCATATGAATACAACCCATTCCCTTGTTAGTGGTGTGATCTTGGTGAAGTGACTTATGCTCACTAAGTCATCATAAAAAGGGGGTATAATATTAATACTTACCACATACAATCGAAGTAAGAATTAGATATAGTAAATGCATGTCCCCTCTGACGCAGAAAGGGCAAAATAAATTTTAGCTAGCTTTATGATTTCCATAAAGTTCAACACATTTACTGGTGATAGATTTTAATTTCAGCTCTGAGTTTCTACAGACCAAAGCAAGGAGAGAACATATTTAACTTGCAAGATTCGAGATGTTTAATACAGATTCTCATAAAAAGAGATGTAGGGGGCAACCCATAGTGACATTCCCACAACAAATTCAAGAAGTTCCATCAAACATCACATCTCTCAATAAAGCAATGTTATAACAAATAAGAGTATTCACAGCACCAACTCTGATTGTAGGAGGTGATTCAATGGTCCTCCAATTGGGTTCTTTTGTTGGCATCACTGATGATGATTTGCTTTTGCTGTTTTGAAGTCACCATGTTGTCGGTTTATGTTCAAATGCTTGTCCTTTATGTATAGTTAATATATAGCCAGTTATTCCTTATCTTTAGGAGCTTTTTACCCTTTCTCATCATATAGACTGCATTGGGACTTTCCTTTTATTCTGTTATTACATGCAAAATTTCCTTCCTGCTCAGATTCAATTTTGCATTTTAGATTGCTCTTCAAGATGCCAGCCACTGGTAACATTTTTCAGTCCTCAAAATAATGTTTTCTCTAGACCTCATAATTAATTTGCTTGCTATTTCCCCTCATGTCATTGCTGAGGATGTTAAATAATAAACTTGGGTCTTGTTTTCTCAGGTAGAAAGTTAAGACCAGGTGAAAAGAGACAGAAACTGAGAGAGAGACAGAGAGACAGAGACAGAGACAGAGAGGAAATTGATTATTTTTGCCTGTATTTGTGAACTTTTGGAAAAGAAAGCTTGATACAATGTACCATGGGACACACAATGCTGATTTAATTTGATTAATGGACCACAAAGTTCCTTTCACTGATATGTGAGGATACACACATGGACTTTAAAAGAGAGAGCTCATAACTACCATAACCATTCCCATTAAGAAATTATGGTGTTAGTGGGGAAAACAAAAACAAATAATAGATCACCAGAATGGCTAGAATGGAAGACTATCAAGAAGTTTCAAAGTCATGACATTCTTGTCAGTGACATAGAAGATGGCACAAAAGGAGCCATAGATAGATCCAAAGAATGTACCTCAGGCTAGACTCTTCTCTGTTCCTCACTTTCTCCATCTGTAAACTAGGGATTGAATTAGAAAAACGTATTTCAAGCTTTAAAAAAAAAAAACAGATCTTTCTTTCTAATAATGCTCCAAAAAAATCATACTTAAAACCCCAATAGATGAAACATAGTGATTGGCCTACGGACTTATAAAAATATTTTGTTACATGAAATCTATTGTTTCAAAGAATAAAGAATGAATTCACTTCCCAAAACATAAAAACTTTTTAACTGGAATCTCTCAGTAACATTTATTTTAAGCTAATTTGAATCATTCTGGCACTTAGGTAGTAAGATTTCAAAAAATACTTGCTAAGTGAATAAATGAAAAAATAAATGAATACACTGCACCACACATAAATAACCTTAACGCCTTCTGTACATGAGTTTAGATTCTTTAATACTGTATTTCACGAATATCTTCCAAGACAAATTGACCCCTAGAAATGTAAATAGATGCTTTGTGACTTTTATATTTTAACTTTTTCTGTTTAAAAAAAATAGATTAGATGATAAAGGCCAAGTGGTTCGCATCAACTTCAATAATGCAACTAGAGACACAATATTTGATGTACCTGTCGAAAGAGTTCAGCCTTTTTATGCTGCTCTGAAGGATTTTGTTGACCTCATGAATTGTAAAGAATTCAAGTTTACTTTCAAGATGAATCCAGGTCAGTGAACATGTTTTCTCAAACAACTGAAAGGCTGTATTTTTTTCGGCCTTAACCATTTAAAGCAATATTTGGAGCAGTTTTTCTCAAATATATTATGTGGAACAGATAACAGTAGAATCTTGGTGAGTAAACAACTAACTTAAAGAGCAGATTCCCGGCCCTTGTCCCTGCTCTATTGACTCTCCAGACTTTAAAATATTCATTTTTAACAAGCTCCTAGGTAATCCTTAAGTAAGAATTATAAAGGTGTCTACCAGGATCCTACCAGGCCGTGTAGTTTAAATGTCAAAAGGTCTAAAACTGTTTGCATCCAATGGCCTGATTTGTGTGAAAAGTAAATGTACACTTTTATATAAAGAAATAAACATACTGTTTCTTGATGCAAGCTAAGTAGCAATGATGTTTTGCATTTTGTACTTTCTAGCTCTGCAAATATTAAACACGTGATTACTCATATTGAAAAAAATATTTTGTCTAGGTGATGTGATTACCTTTGATAACTGGCGCTTACTTCATGGCCGACGGAGCTATGAAGCAGGAACTGAGATATCCCGCCATCTAGAAGGAGCTTACGCTGACTGGGATGTGGTAATGTCCAGGCTTCGCATCTTACGGCAGAGTGTTCAGAATAGAAACTGAATCTCCTAGCTATAATTTCAGTAAGATTCCAATGACAGCATTTTGTAAGATATGCAAGGTTACTTGTCTTCACAGTCCATGATCCAGTTCATTGTCATATTAATTTCTTTAACATTGAACATGTCACCTTTCTCACAAGAGTTTTCTTTGTAATTATTTACAATGCCAGCTCTTTAGATGTGGTATCAGTGTTCTCTTTTTTCCAAACAAAACATCCCTTCTCATCTATTGCATGTATGATCTAATGTTTTTCCTATATATGAGAGTCACCAGAATGCCTACAAATAGTTTTGTATCAAATAAAACTTTTCTTCAGATAACGCCTTTTTTAAAGAAAGCTTTTGTTTCAAATAAAGCTTGTGTTTCAAATAAAACTTGTCTAATATAAAACATGTTTCTGCTCTGTTGCCTAGGGTCTCATTTTTCATGACAGCATATGACTGTTTTTATCATGCTTGGGAAAAGTCTTCATGTTTTCAAAAATCTATTTTATTCACTTTTATTAAATAATTCTATTACCCAAATTTCCAGACTTCACCAGTCTGGTGATCTCAGCATTTCCTTTAATACTTAAATTATGACACCAAACCAAAGTATGCCAAATTAAGAGAAATTCTATTCTCCCTAACTTTCTCATACCCCAAATAAATACTCCCAAGGCCAGGATAGCTTACACCTTCCCATGAGTCAGTTCTTCTCATTTCTTGCCTTCAATTACCAACTGGGAAAGGTAGAGCCAAGATGCCTGCAAACTTCATAAATGGACACAATATCTGTTAACCCATGAACAGATTCACCTGCAGGTCTCAGCTTCTTCTACAGCCACTGCCTTGTCCCCATTGGTGGAACACAGATGTCACTACCAGCCATGGAAATCTCACTTCTGTTGAGCCCAGTCCCTTCCCTACTCCTGCCAAAAAGGGGAGCCTCAGCCCTATCATCTGCTGAAATCCTGGCAGTATGTAGATTGTTAGTCCATATATCTTGGGCCCTAACCAAACTCCCTATTTCGAAAGTCTTGATCGCTGCTACCACTGTAGAGCTCTACCTGTTGCCTTAAGACCAAATGAAAACACTACTACCAACCACATTTTAACTTTTTCTTCACACTCAGTGTGTCTATGGCACTGGGAGTCTGGATCGAGGGTGACAAGGCCACGTCATCACACTCCTCTGATTCTCTGACTCTGGCATTGAATCCACATCACCAGCAAAGACTGCTTTTTCCCTTATAACACCACCCCTCTGTAGGGACTTTATTGTCCTTTCCTATCCTCTGGTCTTGATGGGGACTATTGTAGTATATCACGCATGTTTGATTCCTTTGAACTTCGAAAAAAATGGGTTGGGTTCTCAATCCCATCTGTCCTAAAACATTCCTAGAATGAAAACTGGTGTATTCAAAAGGGGCATGGCCTGGTTCTCAGAGGCAGCATTCAATACCTAAAAACGAATAATTTTCTAGAGTGACTCTAGCTCCTTCCATTTATAACATCTAAACCCTAGGTACTTGCCCAGCTAACATGACTTATTATACTTTTATTCACTCAGCAGATACTTATCACATATTTGGTATATGTCAACCACTCTGCTAGACTGAGGACACAGATGGACTTGAGATATGCCTGCCTAGAGACTGGTAGGGAAATAGATAAGGAGATAGATGATGATGTGTTATGTTAACAGAATGGTTCATAGGAAGGCGAGCAAGCTAAAATGGGGAAGAGAATGAAAGTTTCAGCCTGAGCTGAATGAGGGTTAAAAGTTTTCCAGGCAAAGATGGGGAAATGACTTTCCAAGTAGTCAAAGGGCAGAAGAGACACAGAGAAATGAGAGTGAACACAGAGCATGTGTTGCCACACAAGTGAGAGAGAGAGTAGCTCGTAACAGTGGTGTGAGTTCTGGAATTGGGTGCCTAGGCTCAAATTGTAACAATGACAATTACTTAACTCTTCTTTTAAGCCTCAGTTTTTCTATCTACAAATTAGACTAATAACAGTTCTTATCTCATTAAATTTTTATGAGTATTAAACAAAAGTTTATGCAAAGCATTATTTTCCCAAACTTCTCAGACGATAAAAGTCACCATGATATCTTCAGGTGTGTATTTTTTCAATACAACTTCCCAGGCTTACTCCTTAAAGATTATGATTCAATGGATCTGAGATAAGAACCAACAATTGTGTTTTTAATAAGCATCCCAGGTGATACATATCATCAGAGAAGTTTGGAAAATATTGATGTAAAGACTTTAGCACAGTTCCTAGCTTAGAGTAAGTACTCAATAGATGTTAACTATTATTAAGTATAATAACAGAGGTTGTAAAGGGGGAGGTTGGATTAGTGTTTAAAAAGATATATGAGGCTGGAAACAGATATGGTGGCCAAGTCATGAAATGTCAAAAAGTATGTTGCACTAAAAAGTTGATATTTAATCTTGAAAACAGTGAGAAGCCATTTAAAGGTTTTTAAGCAATAAAGTGTCTTGATCAGATATTTATTTTTTAAAGACCCATCTGGATTCATTGTAGAGGGAATTGTAAATGAGAAAGACTAGAGACCATAAATCCACTTCTGAGATTATAAATCTACTTACTGCAGGAAGCCAGATGAGAAGTTAAGAAGATTGAATTAGAATGCTGGGAGAGAGAATGGAGATAGAAGGCTAAATCTAGACGACTTGATGCTCCACTACACATGAAGAATGAGGGAGATGTCCAAGATGTCTCCTAGGTTTCTAGTTGGGAGAAATGATTGCTGATTCCGTGCTCCAGGAGAGAAGCAACAATAGCAGAAGCAAGCTTGTGGTCAGGAAAGTGAATCCAGTTTTGAAAAGCCTAAACTTGCATTTCCCTTGAGCTATTTCTTTTGGCAGTTGGATATATATACACATGCAACTCAGGACAGAGACCTGTATTGGAGATCTCCATTTGGAAAGTATATATATGGTAGATGAAATCATCACTTGTTTTCCTGGAGACATGCTGTGGTTGTGACAAAGGTTACAAGCTTTATAGTATGATGATAAACTAATGATATTGGCCTAGTTTGTGGAATCAGTTACACTCTATATGTAAAGAATCAGTGGTGGCTTATATTCAAAATCGGCTAGACCTCTTACATATTATGTTTTGTTGCTACAAGACAGCATCTCAAGCCAGCACCCTGTGGCCTGGCTGGTTCCTTCTCTGTTGAAAATTATTTCTGCCCTGGAAAGGAGGGACAGAAGGATTGGATACAGTTGCAACAATCTCTGAAGTATTATATAGGACATGACATATTATGAGCTATAGCAGATGGTGCCGACTAAAGATGATTAGATTTCCTGGATATAATATTCTAAAGATTTGACTTCTCCCCAAACTCATAATAGATCTGATGTAACTTGGATTAGAATTTACCCCTATTTGGCAGTGTGGACTCATTATCTGTTCCATTTTTCTGATTTGACTTGAAGAATATTAATTTCTTGGCTAGTTAATTGGAATAACTCCATGGGTCACCAGAATGACACGTCACAAAGTACCTTCACTAGCTTCTATTTCTCCCTCTAGCTGACCACTAAACAGTGAGTAAATATATATCTACTAGCTAGGTAGAAGGGGTTTATGCAAAATAAAGAATTCTATGGAAAAACTGAGTGATACTAAAGGTAATTTCTCTGTTCAAGAATTTAAACTAAAAGACAGGAGACATTTTAAAAACAAAAATAGCTGTTTATGTCATCCTCAAAAAATATATCATTTTGACAATAAATTTGAACTAAAAGTCTTTGCAATGAAAATTTGATTTGGTTGGACTTATGGCGTAAAGCACACCTCTGGGTCTCTGCACATATTTTTTTAGCTGCCTAGAATAATCTTTCCTACTACCTTTTACACCTGGAAAGTTCCTCCCCCTTCAAAATTCAGCTTGAGTTTTACCTCCCCCATGAATCCTTCCTCCATTCTCTCAATCAGGATAAGGGTCTAGTGAGAATATCAGGCATTAATCAAATAATCACAGAAATAAATAATTATTAACTGTGGCAAATGCTATAGAAGAAAAGTCCAAGAAGCAACAAGAGCATAAAATGTGAAGACAGGACAAATCTGAGAGAGAGTGGATCTCAGGGAAGGTTTCCCTGAAGAAGTGACTTTTAAGGTGTTTGATGAAGAATGATATATAATAATGATACTTTGGGCCTCAATTAATAGAAACTCTGAATCTAACAATAAGGAAATTTTTTATCTCACAAAATACAAAGTCCAGGAAATAAGGCAGGCTCCCCACATTGTGTATCCCCAGCCCCACATCTCTGTAGTTCTCTCGGTTCTGTCTTCCTTCAGGTGTGCGCTTGATCCTCAAGCTGGTAAAATGGCTACAGAAGTTCCAGGCATCACATCCAGACATGGCTACATGGGGAGGAATAAAGAGACCAACTTTCCTGTGTCTCTCTCTTGGAATCAGAGAATCCTTTCCTAAAACCTCACATACAGCCTTTCTCTAATGCTTTCTCAACCATAATTGTGTCAAGTAAATTCTCCTAAACTAATTACTGACAAAAGGGAATGGGATTTCTGTAATTAACTTAAATGTGTTAGGATCTGCCCTCAGGCCTGGGGAGGTCTTTACCCCTGGTACACATGGTTGTACTGAGGAGTAGACAACAGAAAAATTAGGATGGAGATGAATGTTAGATGATCTGCTCTAGATAGGAGAGACTTGTCTAGGTGAATGGGGGAAGCAGACAGGGAGGATGTACCAGGCAGAGCAAACAAAAGAAGGCCTCTGAAGTAGTAGGCCAGACAGTGCTCTTGAAAAAACAGATGAAGGCCATGAGTCTAGCTAAACAGTGTTCAATAGACAGTGAATTTTTTAGGCAGAGATGATTTCATTTATGTTTCCCCAGTGCCTAAATATTTATGAAATAAATGAAAGGAGCTAGGATGGTTGTTTCTTTCAGTACTCTCCATTTTACATATTTAGTGAAACCAATTCACATCCCCAGGACCTCAGATATCTAGAAAAGTGTGTTTTTGTGCCAAGCAGGACTTTATTTCTTTTCCCTCCTCCACTTGTATAACACATTTTATCTATGCACATATGTAATTTTAATTTCAAAAGCTTTCTCATTTTCTACTTGCAGATAATTTCATTCACCAATTTAAAACATCTCAGCAGGGAACTTCCAGTTTCCAGACCATCATGTAAGGAACTTCAGAGTCCTTACTTCACCCTAACAAGTAAAAAAATGAACAAACCGAACAATCAATAACTCTTCTTAGATTTATCAGACAAGTGAGGTCATAGGACAAACCACCACCGTCCCCCAAATTGT